CACGCCAAATTCACTATGTTGTGCAGTAGTTATTGACGAGCAGATGAATTAGCTTACGATGACTTGCAGTTTTTGGCTCAGGATCATCACTGGCTTAGGGCTGAGAGATCGAGCCAGTGGCGAACGATCAGAAGCCGTCGACTCTGGTGTGCAGCAAGCTAGCGCGTTGAGTGATGGAGGAAAAACGACGATGATCGTCGACTCTGCGCGACATCTCCGTTCATCGTTGTTTTCGGTCATCGCACATCACGGTAATGAAGAAAGCCGCAAAACCCCGTCCTTTTCAGCACCTGGACCACAAAAGACGAAGAGCATCGTGCTGTCTGCCTCGAAACTCAAAGGATCAAGAGTGAGTACTACTCTAATCAAAGCTTTCCTCATCAGCTATTCCGATTATGGTCGAATCCAAATGTGATTGAAAGTTCTTGGGGCATGTTTCTTCGGGTATCAAGAATTTTATGACGTACTAGTCCATGAAACTTCGATCGTCACTGAGGAATGTTTTTCTGAACAACACAAACGTTCTGATTTTACAAATTCCAAGGATGTCATCGTCGCGACTTTTTGAACAACGCTCAACCGAAATAGCTGATTGAAGGAAGTTTAAGTCTAGAGTGTGAGAGCAACGACCTTCGTTTACTTAATATGCGGACAGATGAGAATCTTAAATATGAATGAAAAAATGTTTCGGTTCATGTATGCAGCTCTTTGAAGCCAACAAAGTAGTAAAAGTTACCAATTCATCCACTTTTATCTACGAAGCTCAGTAATCAGATTTTGCTCAAATCACAGTCACAGCTAGCAATGTCAGTTTAGCCCAAACATTCCATTGCAGGTGTTGAGTCCCTCATCGGCTGTTGCAATTGTACGATGGACTTCGTAATCAGTACTATGACTTTCGGAGTCACTTATATGTGATTGACTTCTTTCTTATCTCAGGCATATGTAACAGTTATCCTGTATATGACTGATTAGCGACTTTATAAAATAGTAGGTACATCCTCGAAGCATCTCTTCATTGACTGAGATCAGGTCGGTCAAAAAGCCTATTCTAATACTGTGGCTTACAGCAAGTCACACCGAAATTATGAATGAAAGAAAGAACTTTAAAATAAAAGAGATAGACGAGAGTAAGTAGCGCCTGATATAACCTTATTGCCTATATGAATATGATCAATCAATCAATCAATCAATCAATCAGTCGACTAATTACTGCTGAATTATAAGATTTCGCGCCGTATTGCACCGCATCTTTGCTTATAGGCTACTGAGAGCATTATAGCCGTTAACGTCTTCATTATTCTTAGCAACTGCAATGTAAGATGCATCTCGCATCATTTTGCTTATCAGAGGGTGTTTTTCTTACCATGATTGCTAATGCTGATTCGCCGAAATGTTGTCAGTAAAAGAGAGGAGACTAAAATCAGAGGGTTGGTTTTGATCATGGCTATTAAATCCATACCACCTATACTGAAGAACAAGAAAGAATTTAATGGAATAAGCTTTTGATTCTGAGCCTTTATTTCGTCAACTGACAGTTTCCTATTGATGCACAGTCACGAAACCCCAACATAAAGAAAAGATTGAATAGTTTATCCTAACAGTTCATGCCTTTGGTTGCCATCAAAAGCGACATCATTCAGACCTAATTAATGGAAAAATTATGTAAACGTTTTTGTGCAGTAACAACTGTTGATGACCATATACTGAATCGCAGTTGTATATTACCGAGTGGGAAAATTACATTTTTCATAACAAATTACTGACCCCCCCCCAACAGCTTTGACCAATATCAAAAAAATGAAGAGTATTCATCGCACATGTGATATCTTTATGCCGAAAGATGAACAGGCTGTTATTAACAGCCCTAACCTTGTGTTGTTCTCGCCAGTTACCGAAACACTGGTTACATCGATGCCATGTCTTTCACAGGTGGCATAGAATGCATTGCAGAAGTATTCATAATGACAGTTGCGGACGGAGGACACATGTTCTTCAATTCTAATATGAGGCCTTCCATAGGTCTTACTGATATAAATTCTCCCACAGTCATTACATTTCATCTTACAAACCACATTAATCGCTTCAACTGGGCTGCTTGAATGAAGTTTCTTAAAAGAAATATACCCCCTCGCATCATTCTTATATTGTTGTAGACCTGAGACACCGTTTTCATTAGGTATTTTTTGACCTGCTCTGAAACTGAGTGGCAAAATTGAATGACAGTTGCGGGTACGTTTCGGAGATTTGCTTCAGCTAACACTGGAGTGCAGCAGGTGACTGTCTGAAAATATCAGAAAGTAAGAATTTCGAACGAAGATCTCCTGATGATAGGTAATTCTTTCATTTTTGCTTTCTCCAGTGTTGCAAGTCGCCACTACAAGAAGCCACATGTTGTTCACTATGTTCGCAAATAACGCAGTTGGATCACGAGATTTTGGTAGAAAGAAAGTGGAAGTCTCCAATGGTTGCTCAGGTAACTACGTTTTAAAACGTAAAACATCCAAGAATTGCGATGTTGCTGTGCTCAAATTCTGTGGTAAAGTTTATGCACTTCTTTCCGTCCGTTTCATTCATGCACCATTTTGCATTTTTGGAAATGCGAATAAGGCGTAAGCTACTGAGGCATTCATCTAAGACTTTCTTTTCGAGGTAGTTTAGGTACAGGTCTGGTAGCACAACAAGCGGGTTGCACGGCTGTATGAAACACTTTGCCTCCAAAATTGCACCTGCCACAACTTGCTGAAATATTGGAAGAGGGTTTTCAACGCTGCTGTTTCTCAGAATCTCAGAATCCTTTTTGATCTTTTCTATTTTGCTGCTATGTCATGCAAAATGATAGGCAGCATCTGAACAAGGCGTTTATATCGCCTTGCAGAAAGGCGTCGTCCATCACATCCATCGACACTATGCAACAATCCAAACCTCAGTACACCACTCATTTTTTGTGATGTAGTCGCTCGTATGTGTCACTCTGTGCTTTATCTTAGTGGATGCCGATTTCAATGACGATTCCAGTAAACAACAGATTCTATTAATGATTTAGTAAGCAATAATTCTTTTATTATTATGCCACCCAAGCAACCCACCAGCTGAAGCCTTTAATGCAGTTTATAAAATAGAACACAGTGTTTGCGATAGAATTATTGCTTATATTTAAGACCTGCAGATGGCTTAATATTAGAGTGGAAAAACATATTTTCTTCAGTCTGTATCTGCCATGTTGAATTTTCTCCGGAATTGCATTTTATGTTATTGACGAAGTACGTGGCGTTAGTAAAAGAAGTGTTATGGCAATTGACAGGGACAATTCCAGGTTAGGACTATTAATTTAAGAGTCGCTTCATATTCTGGCCAAATGCGAAAACGCCAAATGCGCGATCAATACTATTCATCCTTTGATATAAATCGTTGGGAAGCACTCGATAATCTGTTTCGAAAATCGAAATTTTCAAACTGAGTGACACACGTCTGTCCCTCAGATATGTGTACTTAATGCGTTATTATTGTGCCAAGACGTCGACATGAATTTTTCATTGATTCTGTCTCGAGGATATAACGAAAGGCGTCTGCTTCAATAAAATTTTTCAATCTCTGTTCTATATTTCCGTTTGCTAGCCATTCATCAAAAAAGACAATCGCTGAAGACGACGAATTCAAACGAATTATCGACATCCTTTCACATGTCTCACAGAAAGATCCTAACGGTAGTCTGTAATCCCATCTTTCAAACACTTTATCATAGTGGTATTCTACTTTTTGACGCTTCATATTCAACGTTTGACGATCTTCGTAGTGTTGCCCCTTCGAAAAGACGTAAATAAGGATTTCTTTTGAGTAGGTCTGAAATTCTGAAGCCGATCTCTCTCCGTGACAACGCTTATAACTACCTCAACTTCCGCATTTTAGTTTGCATTAACTACGCTCGCGTCAAAAGGATAAAATAAGCGATCGATCACAGACGAACGTTCAATCATTAGTCCGCCGCATAGGGAAGTGCCAGCTACCGCTAAATGTCATTAAACGAATCCTTAATAGAAACTTCGAAAGTCATTCGAGGCCTTTCTACGTACGCTTGTTACGGCATTTTCTACCAACGGCTGAAGTACCGTTGACCATTTGAAATTTTCCCACATCTTTCATCTCGTTTGTTGACTCAATTTGCGAAATTTTGCAAATACCTGTTTTCAAGCGGATCGACAAGGCTCTTTACTTTTCTTCAGACAGGTCTGTTTGAGAGAAAGACAGTAAAACAAAAAGCACAGGCGGAGGGATTGGAGGAATTCCGCATTAATTTCAAAAAAAGATACAGCGGAATTGCTCTACGCAATTCTGCCTACAATTTGAACAAAGGATTTAACTCCTCTGATAGGCTGAAATGGTCAAGACTTGGCAATTCGGCATTGTCCATTGTTCAAATCTTACATTGTCGCTGCTAGAGCAATGAATGACGGTTGTCATCGTCATTTAAAATGATAATATGATGAAAATTATTCATATTCATGGTACACTTTCCAGTTCTTCATTTGTTTATTTTATCTGTCTGTTATGACTGTTGCTGAAAAGGCTGAAAAGATAATCATACGCTGATAAAAGACCGGAAAAATGATAGCTTTTAAATGCAGCGGCAAACCGTGGAAAAAAAAACCACTGCAGTATGAATTCACATAAGATGTTGTGCGGCATTTTATCATTGTGCAAATTATGTATAAACAATTGTAAAGCAATATTTTCCGGCGACGTTTGAAATGTGTCATTTGTGGCTACAACTATCCCACAACATCAAAATTCGTTTTATTTTATCCACTATTTGCTTGAGGATGATCGCAAATTTCGTTAGTGCTGAAATACAATATTATTTGGCCCAGCGCGAAGATGCGGTCTTACCCCAGATGAACTGCAGGCAGTTAAGCGCAGTGCAGCCGGTTTCTCCCCAGAAAACCAAGAACAAGGAGAAAGGAATGGTGCATTTCTACCGTGTAATTCAATAGCAGTAATTGGAATGTAATATTTTCGGCGAAAAAAGGTTAGCAGCCGAGTGCGACGTGACCGGCATGCGTGTGAACGCATCTAAAACGAAGAGCCTAGTGCTTTCTCGTT